GATCGCTCCCATCCCCCAACTGGGGTCTACTCCAGTGTCTCCATGAGATCCATAAATATTTACAGGGTTCACGGGGGTCACGAAAATGAATTGAAATTTTCTTGTGGCAGACAAACGATAATAAATAAATATGCAGAGAGGAGGAGGAGATGGAGATGGGAGTGTTCCGATGATGCTGCACCACTTAAGCATCTTTTTTTTTTTTTTTTTTTTTGTATTTTGGGGATTCGAGCTGGTATCAAAGGGGGTGAAACACTTGGAAACACTTGTGATAATCATGACTAATAAGATACACAAACAGGGCACCCAATATAAGAAAGAATATCCGAAGACAAACACAGCTGGCTGGTTTTGGGGGGAATGGGGCCACAAGACCCCAGACCAGACAATAATGCAATTTGGGGGGTTACAAAAATAGCTCTCAAGTTAAACCCATTTAGATGGCAATCGAAAAAAATATATATAGGAGGAAATAGCAAGTGGAAAAATTCGTCTGACGTTGCAATGAAAATATAGTTTTGTTAGGGGGCAAAAATATGGCAGTAAAATTTATTTGAATTTTTAAGTTAGAATTTTTTTGTCTTAAAAAATAAATTAAGTAGTCAGACGTGCAGGTTGTAAAATCTATTTAATTTCTTGAAAATATAAGCTTAATTTTAATTTAAAATAAATGTAAAAAATATGTTTATTTAATTATATAATTTCATTTTATAATAAATATATTTTTGTTGGGTAAAAATTAATTTACCAATTTTTATAAACTTAAAAAAACATATGTAAAAGCCAGCAAAAATATTTTATAAGGTAATTTATTATTTATTATATTTTTTATATTTATTTAAGCTATTATTAAAAATTAAGCTTAGTTTTGGCAGAACTTTAATTGAATTTTAAGCTTAAATTTCTGAGATTTTATAATTATTTAATTATTTAAACTCCTTTATTTGACTTAAAAGAAAGTTCTTAAATTTTATAAATCACATAGGGAAACGCTAGTAAAACCTCTTCTATTTTTTAAGTAGTTTTTCCTCCTATGCTACGCATAAATCAATAATTAAAATTTTCTCCTAGGGGGATTGTAAGGGGATCTTCCACCTCTCCCATTTCGGCAATCAAACAATCAAATTCTCACAAGAGCCTCTTCAGGCTGCGGGTGCTTCGCCATGCACTGTGGGATATCTTGGATATTTAAGGGGGTGATATGGGATGAGGGGATGAGGCCACTTGAAAGGGTTCTCTTTTTTTTTTTTCAAGCAATTGAGGCGACACGCGCGACGCCTTAAAGCGGCAATTAATGTTCAAATTTAATTAAACGCATTCTAAGCCATCGTCGCCAGTGCATCGTTGCACTGCCTCAACCCCCATCCCCCATTCCCCATCAACCCATTCTCTTATTCTTGATTCTTTTCCTCAAAGAAGTTCGGCGTCATTGGATTTTAATTGGAGCAGACTGAGAGCACTGAGAGAAAATAGTTTAACATTTTAAATTTAATTATATAGATTTAATTCGAAAAAAATATTTAAATATTTTAGAAACTTAAATCTGTAAAAAAAATTATTTTAAAATTAATTAAATTTTTTTTAAAGTTATTTATTAGTTTTATTTAGGCCGAAATCGATTCTAAAATAAATAACAATATTTATATGCTATATTATATTTTTCGTTTAGTTAATAATAATAATAAATAAATATGCCTGAAAAACTAGTCAATTGTTTTTCAGGTTATCGATTATTTTCATGCCAAAATCGATTTTAAATCGAATAACGTTATGAAAAACTAGTAATACCAAGTGAATTTATCAGTTTTTTTGTCATTGAGTTCGCTCCATAATTTTTTAAATGGCTTCAAAAAATCTAAAAATTTTAAGCTAGTTCTTTTTTCTCCCAGTCTCCTCTATTCGATAATTGAGGGTATCACAATTCCCCTCTTGAGCCAGAGAAAGAGAGAGAGAGAGGGAGAAAAGCCTCCTTTTGATGAGAAGTTAAGTCTCCCTGCTAATTGATAAGCTAAGTGGCAAGTGCCATAAAAACGAACGTCGTTCGCTCCAGAAATGGGTTTAATTTTTTGGTATCGACGAAAAATCAAATACCAGCAAGTCGTCGGCGGCCGGCCGCCCACTCCCTAAGGGATTGGAATTCCTACAAACTCACAGCTCCCAGATCCAGCTCTCCATCGCTCTCCGGTTCCCAAACTCCCAGCTCCAGATCATTAAGACTGTTTTATGGACTTCAGGGCCATGTCAAAAGATTTACGGCCAGCGGCGATTGGTGACCAGATTTATGTATGTGGTTCTTGTTTTTTTTTTTTTGTTACATTTTTTTTTTATTCAAGTTGGAGTTTCTCTCACCTTGCGGGGCACCTCCTCATCTGATCACCTGGTCACCTGCTAAGTGAGCAGTCTAAACAAACCAGAAAACGAGAAGAAAAAGCGGGCTTCGGGCTTCAAAGTCGGGGTCATAAAAACCTTAGGAAATGAGGAGGGTCAGGTCTTTGGGGCTTAGGGTTTCGGCTTCGGGTCAGGTCAAGACTGTGTTGCAATGTCTAGCTTGTCTAGAGTGTCAACGTTAATGACCACAAGACAAATATATATTCATCTGTGTGTGTATATATATAGAAAATATATAGGGAAACGAGGCAAGAAAGAGAGTCGTACTGATCTAGTTTTCTTGGTTAATTTGTGGCTCAACAGGTTCTTGGAAGGCAGCAATAAAAATTTACAAGATTTTAAAGTGGTTATATATAAAAATATTTGATGTATATATATACATAGCAGCTAGTATTTTATATTATAAATAATAATTTATATAATACCTGGTTTTATATATAATATCAAAATATATATAACTAGCCTAAATATCGTTTTGGTTTCTTTTTTTTTCGATATATTTCCCGATAAATCTGATAAATTCTGAGCTGATGTAAAAACTATAATAAAAACCTGTACTCTATTTAACAGTTTATAAACTTATTATATAATATTTAAATGTAAATACTTATTAAAAAATTTGCAACTTTTTATCGTTTAGAAAACTTCCTATTGATATAAATTCTGATTAATAATTTTTAATTTTCAAATTAAATGTAGAACATTCCCCCAGAATTCTCAGTTTCTTTTTTTCTGCTAAAAAAAAAAAACCCTCTTATTTTTAATAACATCCCCAGGGAACAAAGTGTCGATTGTGAGGCGACAAAAGCTATAACTCTGAGCTCGCCCATAAACTGCACTTTTGCTCACTCTTTTTTGTTTATTTATTTTTGTATTATTTAATGTTTGCTGCATTGTTTTTTATATATATTTTATTTTCCTTTATTTTTTTTTTTTGCTTTGATTTCTTTTTTGGAAGCCCAAAGTGTAGGTGGTACTCAGCAGCATTTGAGCCTGAGAGCCTGGGTTATTGGTGATTTGGCCACCAGTTTTGCCTGGTTGCGGCGTGGCACTTAAAGATTTCTTTTATTTTTGATTTTTCCTCGCTTTTCTGGTGTGTGTAGGTGCCACTTAATGGCTGCCATAAACCCACTACTCCTCGCCTTCGTGTCTTGCCGGTTGTCGTACATGCAATTTCAGTTGTTGCTGTTATTGTCGCAAAAGGCGGCTGTTGTTGCTGTTGCCTCGGGTTATGGCCGGGCTTACGGCTGCAGGATAATGAACATTCATGTTAAACACGTTAAGCGACCGAACGTGGGTGTTGTTTTTTCGTGTCTTTTTTTTCTCCTCACCATTTGTTGTTTTTTTTTTTTTATTTTGTATTTTCTATATATATTTTTTTGCACTTCTCTCGGCCCTACTTTGTTGTTGCCATTTAGCGTGCTTCTTGGCCATGTCTCCCATGCATCTGCAATTCGACTTGGCTTTGAATGTGTATCTTGACCCGTTTGGTAGTCGAGTATTTGCTTGGATTTGGGTAGTAAAAATATGCAAATCTCCTTCATTTTCATAGTAAATTTCTTAATTAATCTACATTTTTAAAGATTTACAATATTTTTACCTCATAGATATTTCATATTTTTTAGATGTTGATTAATTATATCGATATTTAAAGTGACATAAGTTTTGATTTTTATTTTTTTTAGTTTTAATTATTTGTATTTATTTATATATATATATTTTTTTTTAATGTTTTCATTTTATTTTTATTTTTTCATTTTATTTAATTTTTTTTTTATATTTATTTTTATTTTATTATTTTATTATTATTTATTATTTTTATTTTATTATTTTTTCGATATTTAAAATTTGATAATTACTTCGTAAAAATGGGGCTTCTATTTTAATTTTTTTTAATAATTTTTCTCTCACTATACATAAATCTTTATATTGATATCCTGCTGGGATTTCGACAGCCACTTGGACCTCTGCCCGGCTCATTAGCCACATCTCTCGTGCAGACATGGAAACCCATCCCACACTGCACACGTTTATCGCCCCAAGTAATTACATTTTGGCAGGGCCAAGCCCCGAAAAAAAGCACAAACAAATAATAAAACCAAAAACAAAACCCAAATTTAAAAGACAAAAAGTGCATTGAACCGACTCGCAATTGTCGCTGAGTCTGAGTCTGCGTTTGGGACTCCGAAACTCACCCACAAAAAATCGATTATCAGCGCAAAAAGCGGAGAGCCGCAATTAGTGTTTGGCCAAAGGGTATCGATATACAAGCAAATCTTGGTGGCGACTGACCGCAGATCGCTGAGGTCTGGGTCCATTTTGCGGTTGGGCTCGGCTTACTTGAGGTGTTAAGTTAACATAACTTTGGAGCAGTGAAAGATATAGGGGGAAAATAATAATAGGTATTAAAGTCTTAAAAAAAACGATAACTATCGAAAATATTAAGGAAGAATATTAAAAAATAAAAATATTAAAAAGTGGAAATAAATGTTGGGTATGTTATTTTTAAACTAAAAACAAATATATGATTTTCAAATACCTAAAGTATTCTTAAGATTTGTTATATATTAAAATTATAATTATTAATATTTTGTATTTATTTTATTTTTTAGTATTCTAGTGGGAGCTCCCCTTGATCAAAATCGACAGCCCAACACCTCACACTCTGGAGCTCTGTGGCGGTGTCCGATAACCTCAGGTTTCGATGACTGCGAACAGGTGATCACCGATGGAAGACGCTGTAAGTGTTATCGCGCATTTGCTAATACAATAAGATAGGATAAATCTATTAGGATATATGATACATATATAGAAAAAGCTATCAAGTGACTAGGTTCTCAAAGAAGTTTTGCTTTTGGTATCTGTGTACCCCCTTCTATTCCAATTCCAATTCCAAGCCTGTTTATCTACATTTAGTCATTGGTGAAGGTTGATAGTTATAGATATCTAGTTTTATACCTTAGTTATATAGGCCTGATTTGGTAATATCCCCATCCCTCTGAATATACCTGAAACCCAGCTCCCAAGTGACTAACCGGAGTGCCAGGAATATAAACCCTACTTATACAGATCTTGATTTAGTCCTTGAGTTGTACATAAGCGATTGCCAAAAAAAATATATACTGTACAAAGATCTTGTGACTAAATATCCATATATCTAACATTTTTAAACAACTTTCTTAGCTGTAAGTTTGGCGTGAATGTTGCTATCGATATTTTAAGCGATTAAATCGATTAAACAAAAATTGTATAAATTGGATGTGTGAGAAAAAAGTGTTTAAATTTTAATTGGCCTTTTCAAGAGTTATTTAAAATATAATCGATTCAACAAATATCGAATGATCGTTCCGTTGTTTATATCGATTATTTGTTGATAAGCACACTATTTATATAGTTATATATTCTCATATTATATCCCATAGTATTGTATAGATACCCACGAACAAATAATTTAATTATTTTTTAATTATTTTGATCTTTCTTTCTCTTCTTTTTCTTTTTTATGTTATTGTTTTTATGTTCTCTTCCCCCTATTTCAATTAATCGAAATTCGCATAACTGGGAAATATATATAATTTGTTTCGCTACCGAAAAACTGAAAACCGAAAACGAAACTGAAACTGAAACCTAACCCCAACCAACAAAACAAAAAAAAAAAAAACAAAAACTGATAAAAAAAAAATCCTTTCTTGATATTTACCATTCGAAATCGATAAATCGAACGAACTTAGCACCGAGCGGAGTATATGAGACTAATAAGAGTAAGTGGTTTTGGGTGCTTTAATTGTTGTCTTGCCCACGGCATCCCACTGACTAAAATCAACCGATCGACTCATCGCAACCGCCTAACACCCATTCAGTATTCGATCAATGCTATGATATATATATACTATTTATAACCAGTATCCATAAATTTGGGTTTGCGCTTTTGATTCGTTCACTTACGGTTTGATTTCTCGTTCAATTAATACCCAGCATTAATCATTGTTTTTTTTTCTAATTCGATTCAGTGCACAAAAAACACATCTCTGCAAAACAAAACTCAAATCAAATTGCTTCATAACAAATACATTGTATATATACTAGATATATCTTTTGCAAAAACCAAAAATATATGCAATCACCGAATGTACAGTCATGCACGCATGCCTAAGGCCGCCATCTTGCTTACTTCGTTTTTCTCTTTATTTTTTTATAATTATTATTATTGTTACTTTTATGATTAATATTACTTTTACTTAACCGCCACGCATGCGCGCACTAATTGCAATCTGTATTTATAATTTTTAACCTAAACTTTTTATAAGTTATCCACTTGAATGTTGTAAATATCTATTTTAATGAAGATTCCTAACTTTTATAATACTATTTAATATTTTATATATATTTTCTATTTTTATTGTTTATCTGATATTTTATATCACATATCCACACAGTATTTTAGTAAGCTTTTAAGAACTGATAACAAGACTTTCATTCACAAGTATCATTTCGATTTTGATTCAATAAGTGATACGTAAACACTGATACCATCATAATCGATAATAATAATTGGTGCAAACATTATATAAAAATGTACGATTATTATTATAGTACAATGGTTTTTAACTGTTCCCAGGTTACCCATTCACTTCGATTGCTCCCCAAGGACAAGGGGGGCTTAGCTACATATATATTATTATATGATATTTTTTCAACATTATTGTATATCGACGTCACATGTTAACCATTTCCTTTAATATGCCCGGGCGGATTCTTGGAATTTTGCTCCCAAATCCATTCGTAAAATCCCATAACACCCCTAAAATGAGGCTTTACATTTTCGGCGGCTCCAATTGGCGACTCATTTAGCGCTAATTATATAGCAGCTGCAAGCCCCTCATTTGATACCCTTTAAGAAAAGGGTATAATTAGTTTTACAAAAAACCTTTTAAAATTTTAATTTAAAGTTAAAAAAATAAATTAAAAAATTTGAGAAATCTAAGGTAAAAATATTATTTTTTTATAATTAATTCTCAGTATAGGAATTAATTTTTGTAAATATTTTAAATTTTACTAATTAATATTACATTTTATTTATTTTTCATCAAGAGATTATACTTTTTTTTTTAAATCCCATGATTTGTCAATTTTTTGGCAAAGTTTGATGTTTTTGATTCTTTAATATTAATTTTAAGGGTATAACCAGGTTCGGTTTCTATCAATTTTCTCGCTTGTATGTAAATTCGAGTTTGCCCCACGTTTTTGCATGCAACTGGGTCGCCTTTGCATTTCTTGTGACCGGGTTTCTTCAGCTGGTGCTTCTTCTTCTGACTCCAAGACTTCCAATTCTTGGTTTTTTATTTTATTTTTTTTTGTTGGCAATCAGAGCGTGGCAGCTTGAAGAACAAGCAGTTGAAGACGAGAGGGGAGCTCAAGCTAAAAACTTTGCCAACAGCGCCGCCCCAGAACGTGACAAATTTCCCAAAACTTACAAAAAAAAATCAACAACAAAATAAGCAGAGAAACGATATACAATTCATAAATTAAATAAATATTTTATAATATAAAATCCTACTCACTGGAAACATTCTAACTAGAAGCTCATTAAAAATCATTCTTTGAAATTATAACCAATATTTGGCCTGACTTTCGCTCAGTGTAGCAACGAAAGGCAAAATAAATGTTGGCAGAGGCATAAAAATAACTGCAAACTGTAAAAAATACAGCGCATATGCGAATTCTTGAGTGCAAATAGCTCAAAAGTTTTTTTTGTATATTTGCTTTTTGGCGGCAAAAAGCAGGGCAAAAGCCAGAAAAAAAGAAAAAGAAAGGGTAAGAGAAAAGTGGGGGGTTTGTTTGCATTACTGTACATTAGCTATCACCCTCTTTTCACATCATTCCCACCTTCAAAATGAAGAATTCTTCTGTCTTTTCTTTTCTTGCCCATTTAGTCAATGTCAAAAATGCGTGAAAAGGGGGAAACTGCCTATGGTGGAAAACGGGAGGGGGGTTTTCTTCTTTTTTTTTTTTGAGGGTATTAAAAAGGGGGCGTGACAGTGGGCGGGTGCGACCAGCTGTGCGACTTTCACTGCAACGCCGCGAACGCGTCAAAAACCAGTCAAGAACGACCCACGCCCCAAAGGCAACCAACAAAATATTAAAAAAAAAAATAAGAAGGAAAATCAAGAAAACTCAAAAGACCACAAAAACTTACACAGCAAGAAAAATCTTAGATATTTAAAATAATAATATCGGGATTTAAGTTATTTTCCCTTTAAATATAAAAAAGAGCAATGCTTTTGGCAAACTTTCGAGTTGAGAATTCTAAGGTTTAACCTTTTAATTATTTTTCTTCTTTGCTTTTTTTTTTTGTTGCTATCTCTTTTGCTATGGCAGAGTAATAATCATTTATCATATTTCAACACTTTGATGCTTTAAAATGCATTCTAAATCAATTTCGTTCGGTTCTCCCTCTCTGTCTCTCCCTATCTCTCTCTCTCTCTCGCTCGATCACTCTTTCGCGGCTGCGCTTTCCATTTTTTGTTTTCTTGGTCTTTTGCTTCGTTTCATGCTTCGTTTAATCAACAAAATTTCGTTTTACCCCCCCTACTCTTTTTATTTTCTTTGTGCAACTTGCCGCCACATGTGCTTTACACACACACATACACCGGGATGCTGTTGTTGTTGTTGTTGTGTTGCCCCAAAATCAGCTGTAAATAATTGAATTGTTTGGAGTTTCTGGAAGTCGCCGCTTCGTCAAGTTTAATTTGCATTTTACCGTTGTTATTTTTTTCGATTTCCAGTTTCGTGTTAAACATTAGGGTGGACAGCAATTAGAGTGGCATATGTTTGTTATTAACTAATCAAAGATGTAGATAAAAAGACAAATAAAAAGCTAACAATTGTATAATAAAATTAAAAATATTATAAATAATAATATATATAAATATATATAATATAATATTAATATATATAATATAATATTAATATATATAATATAATATTAATATATATAATATAATATTAATATAATAATATAATATTAATAACATAATATTATTAAAATAATAATAATAATAATAATAAAATATCAAATATAAAAATACTTGGAATAACCAAGGTTCCAGGTTATCATATTCCCCCCGCCAAGGTCCACCCTATTTTGTACATACTATGTAAAATTGGAATATACATATGTACAAATGTTTGTAAATTTTTTGAATGATTATTATTATTGATTATTATTATTGTTGTTTCTCACATATATTTGTTGTTAATATTGCATACTTATTCTTAGTTTTCTTTAATATATTATAAACTATCGTTATTGTTAATGTTGTTCAACATATTATTATTATTATTAATATTATTGTTGTTGTTGCTGACACACACACACACATTTGTACACAAAACGCACACAAAGACACCTGCAAATTACACACATACACATACAGAATCACTTGTTGCATCATTTTTTATTAGCAATTTCTAACATTGGTATCTCTCCGTCTCTCTCCCTCTCTCTGCACTCTCCTTCTCTCACGCCCTCTGCCGCGATCACCACAATTTTCCGCCCTGCGTTACCGTTATGACCTTCAGCCTTCGATAGCGAAATCCTGTCACCGCCCTCAGATGACGAAATCAAGGAGGGCCAGTGGATGGGGGTTACAGTGAGATCGAATCCTTTGCAGGCCAATGGATCTGGCGGCAAGGTGAGTATCTTTTTTGCTATATATATATATCCTTTAACTCTAAATACTCCAATTATATATTTATATTCCTATTATTTTTCTTCTTTAAATTTATATTTAATTTTAAATATTGATCCTATTTAAAAATACATATCCATTATCCCTTCTATTCATCCAATTCTCTTAGGTTTTAGTTTGCGCCCATCGCTATATGTTTGTGGTACGGGAGAATCGTCATGGTCAGGGTCTGTGCTATCTCCTCACCAACGATCTGCAGTTCGAAGAGGTCTACGAGCCTTGTAAAGGGCGGCCTGTAAAACGGTGAGTAATACTTCATACATATCGTTCCATAAGAGTAATAAATTGATAATACCAGTTTATCACGAATTTTCATGAGTTTCATAGTTATACTATAGGTTCAGTTCAGGATATTTTATTTTTAATTCTTATATTTCTTAATAAATTACTTTATTATCAATTCCTACAACTGAGGATTAGTAAGCTGAAGTAATCAGCTCTTACTCAATGGAGTTTTCATCTGAATTTCCATGTATATATATTTCTTGTATAGTATTATATGTAGTTAAAGATATAGGAAAGATTTGAAACATCCTTAAGTTATATTTTACAGAGTTTTAAGAGAGTTTTTTTTTAGATAGATTTTAAAAAGATTCAAGGAAGATTATATTGAGATTTTAAATAGTTTTTTGTAGAGAATTTAGGTGAGACTCTAGAGGATTTTCCAAGAGCTTTTAGGGAAAATTACGAATTCAGATTGATGAAGATATATTCTCATATATATTATACAAATTCCTTTGAGTACTTATATTATTATTATTATCTCTAGTTTATATTAGAATGCATTTCTTAAAAGTTGTCCTAGGTCTCATGGATATATTTATGGCAGGTTGAGGTAATCATAACACTCCCTGGCCCCCAAAATTGACATGGGTCAGTTTTATATTTATTTTATATTCCTGCCAGGGAGAAATGGGGAAAGGGAGAATGAAGGAAATAGGGAACAGGGAAAAGTGTCAAGGTGAATTATCTCCAGCGATGAATAATGCGGGGTGTGCTTTGTTTTTTTTCTCGACCAATTAGCATGCAGCGTGTGTGGTTTGTTATTTATTTTCTTTGTTTTTTATGGGAAGGCGGCAGGGTCACCACCTCAAGTGTGACACCGATGACGTCGTTTTTGTTCCTGCAACACTCATAAAGGTGAAATTTAATTTATTTAAATGAAACGAGGACGATCCGCACCCACGCGGTGACCGAAATCAAGGAGCGGTGGGTCATGGAGGAGGCCTGTCATCATTCTGAATATGCAATTTTTCATCCAGCTGGAAGTTGCGTGTCCAAACTCGATTCGGGATTAGGTAGAGGGGCACTCACGCCACTATTATCCAGTGGAGGTGGAGTTAAACCAGGTGTAGGACCTGACCACCGTAGCTGTTGACCCTGGTCATCCATTAATGTCCAAATACACACACACACACTTAGTTCCATTCGGGAATAGGCAAATGACAGGGAAATAAAGATAGGCCAACGCCAAAGAGTCCCTTTGTTGTCTATGGTCATCTATTAGTGTCCCAATACGGGAATAAGCAGGACCAATGAGGGAACTAGGGTTCGCGATGCAGATAAGAAATGTCCTTGGACTTTTCCAGGGGTTTTAATGGTGTGTTTATGTTCAAACTTTTCAAAATTTGCTTGAAATTTCGAAATAATGAAAGTTACTGGGGGGTTTTCTTAATGTATTATTGTTTTAAAGATATTTAAATTTTAATTTAAATTTTAAGACATTTAATACTTTTCGAGATTTTAAAGTTAATTAATTTAATTTCCTTATCCCCATTAACAGACAACACGAGGACTATGGAATGTGCCAGGCGGGCACATCGGGCGCCCTCCTCGACGACGACACCATGGTGCTGGGCTCACCCGGACCCTCCACGTGGCGCGGCTCCATTTGGGTGACCCAGGTGGGCGGCGAGTATCTGCAGCGGGACAAGACGACCTACTATAGCAATCATGCGGATGTGGGTTCCCCGGTGGACAAGTACAGTTACTTGGGAATGTCCGTAACAGGTGGACGTTTCTTTGGTCACATGTCGTATGCGGCAGGAGCACCACGTTCCGAGGGTCATGGCCAAGTTGTGATCTTTGATAAATCCAGCGAGAATCCCATACCAGTGCACATGATCCTCGATGGCGAACAGTTTGGCTCCAGCTTTGGCTACGAACTGGCCACCGCCGATGTGAATGGCGATCTTCGACCGGACCTCATTGTGGCCGCTCCGCTGTACTTTAGCAAATCCGAGGGTGGAGCTGTGTATGTGTATCAGAATCAAAAGGATTCGCTGCCGCTAAAGTATACCCAGAGGCTAACGGGGACGCTGGAGAGTAGGTTTGGCTTGGCGCTGGCCAATATCGGGGATCTGAACAAGGACCATTGCGATGATCTGGCAGTGGGTGCACCCTACGAGGACAGAGGCGTTGTGTACATCTATCTGGGCTCCCGCGAGGGACTCAACACCAAGCCGGCCCAGAAGATTCAAGCCTCGGACTTGGGTGGCATTATGCCCCGGGGTCAGCCACCGATACGCACCTTTGGCATTTCCATCTCAGGCAATACCGATCTTGATGACAACTCGTATCCGGATGTGGTCATTGGGGCCTTCAACTCCTCGGCGGCAGTTATACTACTGGCCCGACCTATCATTAGTATCCAGACGAAAGTCCTAAGGGAGGAGCTACGCAACATGGATCCCAATCAGCCCGGCTGCAAGGCGGATGCCTCCAGCAATCTCACCTGCTTCTCCTTCGATGCCTGCTGCAGCATTGATCCGTACGATGAGAAGAGCAAGGAACTCCGTCTGGCCTATAGTGTCGAGGCTGAGACCTTTGATCATGCCAAGAAATTTTCCAGAGTTTTCTTTGATCGCGAGAATAAGCGTAGCAATGTCCTCGGCCGCGTGGTGACTGTCCGAACCGATGGAAAGATTGCCTGTCAAAGGGTCACGGGTTATATCAAGGCCAACACAAGGGATATACAGACGCCGGTTCGTTTCCGGCTCAAGTATTCGCTGGTGGAGCCACCTCTGGCCGAATCCGCTTTGGTACACCTCAATCCTATCTTGGATCAGACCCAGGCACACATTGATTTCGAGGGCACCTTCCAGAAGGATTGCGGCGATGATGATCTCTGTGAGAGTAACTTGATTATAAGGGCAGAGCCGAATATCACACGTTCCGGAAAGGAAGAGTACACCCTGATCCTGGACGAAACGGAGCTGGAGGTGCGCATCAATGTGAGCAATCTGGCGGATTCGGCCTACGAGGCTCAGTTGTTTATCCAGCATCAGGCGGGAGTCTCCTATGTGGCCACCAAGAAGCCGGTGAGTAAAATCTTCTTCCTTTTTACTTTATTTCCAAATTAATTTATGATAATCCTTTCCAGACCAATGCCACCTGCAATAGCTTCAATACCACCCTGGTGGCCTGCAGTCTGGGCAACCCAATGCTGCGTGGCGCCACCACCTTTGTGACCATTCGGTTCCAGCCCAAGGGCCTGGAGCCCGGTGAAAAATCCATGTTGTTCCATATCTTTGCCAATACCACCTCCAAACTGGTGGGTTCTGAGCCACCAGAGCGGGATCTTCATGTAAAGGTTGTGCGCCAGGCCAAGCTCAATTTCCGGGGTTGGCCCAAGCCGGAGCAAAGTTTCTACAGTTCAGCCACCGTGAAAAAGAGCAATCAAGGTGTGATTTCGGGACCTGATTCGGATGGATCTTCCTCCTCCTCTACTTCACCCATGGAAATGGAAGATGTGGGCTCTCAGGTTAGCCATAGCTTCACCGTCTTTAATGATGGTCCCTCGACAGCGCCCAAGGTCCACATGGTTATCCAATGGCCACTGGCCTTGTACAGTGATCCCCAGAGCAATCGCCTGGATCAGTATCTGTTGTATCTGGAGCAAATACCCACCGTTGAGGTGGGCGTAGGCGAGTGTCGCGTACCGCCCCAGTATGTCAATCCACTGGGATTGACCACGGGCTCGAGGGAGGCTCAAGGTTACCTCAGTGCCCCAGCCCAGATGCGTATGTATCCATCAACGGTGGGTGGAAGGCGGCACAACAAGAGCATGATGGTGCAGCACACACAAAGAAGCTATTATTCCGACGATGAGGAGGACTCCAGCCAAAGAACACAGCATCACCAGAACCGGATAAAGCGCAGTTTTCTGGAGCGTGTCACCCGCTTGGAGCGTCTGACATACGATCCCGAGGGAGGTAACTCCAACTCCGCCGGCAACAGCAACGGCAATGGCAAGAAGCAGGACATCGTGGAGCTGGAGTGCAACAAGGGTACAGCGCGTTGCATTCAGATCGATTGTGAGATCTGGAACATGCCCGCCCGGTCCGAGGCCCAAGTGGTGGTCACCGCTCGCCTGTGGAACTCCACGCTGGTCAATGAATACCCTCGAGTGGATCGTGTGCGCATCATATCCTCGGCGACAGCGCAAATACCCGATGACTATGGTGTGGAGGTCATGGAACGTAATAACTGCGAGGTGGGTTATCTACATTCTGGATTTTAGAAATTATTTAATAATCAAATGATTATTTTCATGTCCCATCAGGTGGAGACCCGTGCCTATCCAGAGTTACGGAATCAGCAGCGCGATACCTCGATACCCTGGCTAATTATAATCCTGGGCATCGTTGGTGGCCTGCTTCTGCTGGCCCTCTTCACGTACTGCCTGTGGAAGTGTGGCTTCTTCAAGCGCATCCGTCCAACGGATCCCACGCTTAGCGGCAATCTGGAGAAGATGAACGAGGAGAAACCCTTCCTGGCGGCAAAGAATACCCATCATGTTTTCTAACAAGAGGGCACCGTTGGTTGGGATTTGGTGCGTCGGAGGCGTAGGCGGCGACGCCGTCTAATTGCTGCATTGCATCATTTACCCTCGGTTGTTACCGGTGCGCCGCCTTCACGCCAGGGCTGGCGCAAAGCTCCGAACAACCATAACAATAATAATAATCATAATAATAGTAGCAACAACAACAACAACAATAATGACAGCGATGTGGATGTGGAGTCGCTAACGCCGCCACCGCCACCGCTGAGCATCCTAAGCTGGGGCAACGATGGCTACTATCAGGCAAGCGCCGCCTGGTGGGGTCACATGTGAGCGGGGAAGAGGGGTTAGGATCATATGGGTTGTGGTTCAATGTGCCATTTCGTTTACTTAATGCAACAGGCTAAGTTCAGTTCAGATCAAAGGCGAGATCGGAAATAACTTAATACGAAAACCATTTATAAAATTTTAAAAAATCACGTAGAGAGTTACACACAAAAATGTTATACCTTATGTTATAAACCACCCAGAGCACTAAATATCTCATGGCCTGACTTTTTTGTGACATTTTCAATCGATTTCCATTTGTTTTTCTCGATATTTCGCCAATGTTCAGTGCTGAGCTTTAGTCCAACGATTTAGCTAAGCCCCCAAAACGTTTAAAAATTTCTTTGTAAAAATGTTCATTTGTCATATATAGAAGTTATAAGTTAAACCGACGCTAAGCTAGGGTAAGAAAAAAAAAAAAAAACAGAAAACAGAGAGAGAAACACCGAAAATTCCGAATATAGCATACACAACATAGATCGATAAAAACACTGCCAATCGACTAGAATAAATATTGATTCGAAATCAAAATCAATACGTAAACACTTCATGAAAAAAACTATATAAAAAAAAAAGAACGAAAGTATTAGCACAAACTTAACGCCTAACTTATGGACTGTTTAGATGGCCCAAAAGAAATCCACAAGCAACAGAATAATCGTTATTTCGTTTATCTTTCTACTTGTTTTTATACTATTTTTTTTTTTAATAAAATAAATTAAGAAGAGAACATTTTAAAATATGTAAAGATGATGCACGTTTTTGTATGTATGTATGATGTCTGTGTGTGGTAGGGAGACGATTGTAGTTAAATTAGTTTGTAAATAATATTACGATATGCTTTAGTTACTAGCTGTAAATAGTAATTATTCCTTTATCTTTATCTATTTAATATACCATGCTTTTTTTTAAACAACCAGTTGAATTTGAATATATTTTTTAACAAGAAGGAAACTGCGGTAAGTATATGTTTCTATACCCTAAAAGTTTGGATATATTAATCATACTAAATTAAATTTTTGAAATTAAATGTTTGCCAATTTTTGGCAGACTAAAAAATTTAAGTTAAAAAAAAAAAACGATAACTAAGCAAAAATGTATTAAATTCAATTCGGAAAACGGTAAAAATTGTATAAAATATAAATATAAAAATGTATAAAATAATATGCAGAAAATAGAAAAAAACAGGAGAGGAAAACTAAATAAAATACGAAATAAGTAGTGCTACTCACTTTGTTTGTGGCTGGGAGTCTGCCGGGCTCACGTAGCCCGGAGCCTAGATGCACGCAAGTTGAACCGGTTCCGATCCCTCCGGGGGGCTTGTTTTACACGGCGCGGCGATGATTACCAGATTTTCCCGTTCGTTTTCGACCGTTTTTGCCCGTTGTCCACCATCTTTCATCTTCCTTATTCTTTTCTCTGCTTCGCTTTACGGGCAAAGAAAGAAGAAGAACAAGAAAGAAAGGAGAAATCTAACACATCGCCTGGCACTCACACTCACACTGTTTCACTTGCACCTGCACAACAAAAAAAAGTAAATAAAAAAAAAAAAAAAAAAACGGCACTTTTTCGACCGTTTTTGCCCGTTTTCCACATTCTTCCTTACATTTTTCTCCGCTTTGCGCAAAACCTACCGAAGGAAGAAGCAGGGCACGAAAGCAAGGCGGAAAGTAACGGGACTTGTTGCAAGGACTGGCACATGCGGCGTCACTTGCGCTTGCATAAAAAACTAAGGGGCTCCGCGGAGTCCCGGCGTAGATTTCTAGGCTTTGATTCAGATTTTCATTTCTCCAGATGGGACAATGTTTTTCCACGTTTTTCCGTGTTTTTCCGAGCGTTTTTTATCCGTTTTCCCACGAGCGCGTCTTCCAACTGAAGAATTACGTGGTCTAGACTAAAACCGAAATAAAACCGAATACTATGCAGCTTGGGCATAGATTTTACCGGCTTTCGTCTGGATTTTCGTTTTTTACGTCGCGACCATGTTTTTCCGCACTTTTCCGACCGTTTTTCCGCATTTAAAGCCCGTTTTCGGAGGAGCACGCGGTTTTCGTCCCGAACAATTTTTCAGCGAAAAAGGAATGAAGGAGGAATTGCGAAGCTGTGAGCGGCGAGCAGCTGACGCTCTCTCTCTCTCTCTCTCTCTCTCTCTCAGCTTTTCAAGCTTCGAAAGATCGGAAGGAGAAGAAACCGAGAACATGGCGGAAAAAACGGGACACTCGCGCTATCTCATTCGCACTTGAAAAGAAAAACCGAACGTAAGGCATCCCGGGCAACGATTTTTCCGGTTTTTGGACCGGATTTTCGTTTTCCACGGCACGACAAGGTTTTTTTTTCGCAATTTTCCAAATGTTTTTATCACGTTTTTATCCAGTTTTCTTGCCGTTTTTTAAAATCAAAATTCACCACATCTAAGAGAATTCGTAACTAGGTGGCAGCTCCCAAGCCCTCGCAGTGACCATCGATATTTCCGCCGAACCGAGCAACGGTCACACTAGCCCGTTTGGACTGTCATTTAAATAAATTTCCCCAAAAAACGCAACGTAATGGACGAGAGCTGGTGGCTAGCCCAGCTCAAGGCACTGGAATCGAAGGCCCAGCGCCTGGAGACCCTGAACGGCCTGAATACCGCAATCAACAAGTCGGCGCCATCCAAACAAATCGCCCGCCGCGTGCTGGCCGCTCCCGAGTTGTACGAATGTGCGGAAATCGGAGGATCAGACCCGGCAGCGCCCAAGGATGGTATGGTCTCTGCGACACTGGAGCTACTGGACCGTTGCCTGCACCTAATGGCACCGGAGACGGGCGACGTGGAGCTGCCACGGCTGCTGAATCGCGGTCTCACCCACACGAATCCGGCCGTGCGCTCGCTGGTGCTGAACCTGCTGCACCGGGAGCTGCTCCGCCAGGTGCACTCGGGTCAGATTCAACAGCTGCCCAACAATGAGCTCCTATTCCTGGTCCTCGACGAGCTGAAGCAAACGGAGACGGAGGCCAGTGCTGTGGCCATTCAAATCCTCTCGATTGTGCTGATCCAGCGATTGAATGATCCTGGTGTCCAGGCCAAGTTGGTGCAGCTGCTGCAGCAAAACGAGATTGTACGTTGCCGAGCCTACGAACTGGCCGTCAATCTGTCCAAGTCGAGTGCCTCCTCGCTGAGCTACGTTGAGTTTATATTGGACGCAGCGCTCAGCGAGCTGGACAATGATGATGTCCTGCTGCAGGCCAGCGTCATGGAGATTCTAGTGCCACTGGCCGAGCAGAATCATGGCCTGTCGTATATGGAACGTCGCCGGGTATTCGATGTGATAAGCAATCGGGTGCAGCGACTGGAGGAGAATCCCCTGGACGCGCTACTCGTGCCGAGCATTATGAAATTCTTTGGCAAAATTGCTGCCGTGCAGCCGCAAAAGATCATCGTTGGTTATTCCCATATGTTGGTCTGTCTGTTCGAGCAGCTGCAGTCGGAGGATGAGACTATATTGCCCACGGCTTTGGACACTTTGCCCAATTTGGCTGGAACGCCGCAGGGTAAAATGCTGTTGCATCTTAACTTCCAGCCGGCCATGGAGCGAACGATGATCAAGTATGGTGGGTATACCAAGAAGCTATCGGCTCCGATTAAAGTGAGGCTGCTCAACTCGCTGGATGTGATTTATGCCATGGAAACGATGCCACCCACCAAGGAGATTGAGTAAGGTTTTAGCTATTAATCACCGGGCTTGTGGCTTCTTTAACCTAGATTCTTCTCCTCCAGCAATGTCCTCAGGGGCTGGTATGAGGCTTTTGCCGGCGGTTTGCAGACCAACTACATCATGGATTTGATCAATACACCCTTTCCTGACCTCCAGTTGGCCGCCTTGGCCTTGCTAAAGACCTTGTGTAAATATCGCTGGGGTGTGGAGGCTCTTAGGAATACTGGCGGCGCTGTGGAATTCCTACTTTCACGTCAAAAGGATCTACACAAGGATGTCAAGTTTTTGAAATGGGAAATTCTAGAGTTGTTGTCGGTTAGCCCGGAGTTTACACCCACCGAAACAGTGCGCTTTACGGCCTATGTCAATGAGGGACCATATCACATCCAGGCGGATCTCAATATAGCCACCGAGCCGCAGGGCAGTGCCTAGAGAAGGAGTAGCGGGAACTTACGGGATGCCAAGCATTCCAAACTAACATCTGAATATGTATTTATAATTTAGAAATTACAATAAAATTTTAACTATTTAGATCACAAATCGTCGTCTAGCGCATCCTCTCCTCTACAGGTAACTCATTTGCCGGTGGGAGAGTCGCTTTCTGCCAGAACCACCACCACCACCTACACCGCCACCCAAATGAGCCAGACTTACGCTCAATCCCGACTCGTAGGCCGTCTGCGTCTGGGAGCGGGTCTCGTTGTTCAGCAGCGAGCAGCTGGGCAGCGTGTGGCAGTAGCGACGCAGCTGCTGCTTGAAAGCAGCCGTGGTCAAGGTGTACAGCACGGGATTCAGGGCCGAGTTAACCGGCAAGACCAGCACCGCCAGCCAGGCGTACAGATCGGGTGAGATGTTGCAGCCTGAAAGGGCAGCCACCTTGACCACAATTATGGGCAGCCAGCAGGCGCAATCCGTGGTCACAATTATAGCAAATCTAAGAAAAAAAATCACAATTAAATCTATGTAATATATAGAATATAAAACAGACACCCACCTGGTAGCCACCACATTCTCTCTGCCGCTGTGCGTGCTCCGCATTCCTCCGCCAGAATCTCTGATAGCCTGCAGCATTCTCACATAGGAGAACAGGATGAAGACCAGGGACAAGGTGTTGACAAAGATGAACAGCAAAGCCGAGTATTCCCAGCCCTATAAAGGATATAGCAAAAAAAATATATACTAAAAAGTGCTATCAAGAAAAGGACTAGCTTACCTTGGCATAGGGATCATGGATGTGCAGGGACAGGCAGACACCGTTGTTGCCATAAAAGTGGCTGCCAAAGTAGGGATTGGTGAGCAGAGGTGCCGCTGCCAGGCCGAAACTGATGCCCCACAGCAGCAGCAGGCGCAGGACAATGCTAGGGAAAGGATATATCAAAGGTTTTTTTTTTGAGAAAATTAAATACAAATATTTAGAAATGTATATTTAAAATTAAATACAAATATTTAGGAATTTATATTCAATATAATTATTTTAAAATTAAATACAAATATTAGGAATTTAGATTTAAAATAATTTTTTTTAATTAAATAAAATATTTAGGAATTTATATTTAAAATAATTATTTTTAAATTAAATATAAATATTTAGGAATTTATATTTAAAATATTTTTTTTTAATTAAATAAAATATTTAGGAATTTATATTTAAAATAATTATTTTTAAATTAAATACAAATATTTAGGAATTTATATTTAAAATAATTCTTTTTAAATTAAATACTAATGATTAGGAATTTATATTTAAAATAATTATTTTAAAATTGAATACAAATATTTAGGAATTTTGATTTAAAATAATTATTTTAAAATTAAACTTGCTTATCCTTTAAATTTCTTAATTAAACAATAATACCATCTCATCCTTTCTCTCTTTCTTAATTAAACAATAATAAAAGCTGTAAATGAAAGTGCACTATATATATGTATGTACATATATCCTGGCGTATAAACAAATAAACCTCCACAGACAAAAGTTTTCTGTTTTCGGATAAACACACAATTTAATTCGTATTCGGGGAATTTTGAGTGCTTAGAAAATCAACAATATTTGCTTATTGCCTGCCAGCTTTTAAGGGTGCCGGAAATGTAATTTAAATAATTGGATTCCGAACTGAAGACAAACTTTTTGTTGTTGTTCTTAAAATCAACAAAGCTCGTTATAAAAATAAGAAGGAGAATTTAGTTTAAAATGACAAATCTACTTTGAGTCCAGGAGTTTTTTCAGGTAAATATTAATATTATTTATTTGAATTTACTTCTTTTATTTAAAACCTAAAAAATACTTTTTAAAAAGTTCCCTTTACAACCTAAAAATTTAATAAAAAACTCTACTGTTTCTTCTGTAAAACTTTCTTCAAAATATTAAAGCCTTCTTTTCCCTTTTTTAATTTGTAAAAAAAATATATAAAATAAAATCTTCCAGAGTGCACATTATCCTTTGTGGAGCGTGACTTTTACCCAGTAGTTCTCTTCCTCAAAACACTTACCGAAACTTTTCCGTGTCCCGTGGCTTGAGGGGCCGCGTCACAGACATCAGACGGTCCCAGGTGACCAGGGTGAGCAGCAGCGTCGACGACTGGCAACTAAAGGTGCTGAGGAAGCCTACGCAATATACACGGGAGCATTAATGCAAAAAGATAATTGCAAAAGGAGGCTTACTATGTATACTTACCGGCAAAGGCGCAGACACCGCTGTGGCGCCAGGCCTCCTCATACTTGATGTACTCGCCGCGAAAGTTAATGTCCGCGCAGGCAATCAGCGTCAGGTAAATGCCCATGAGAAAATCGCTGGCGGCCAGGTGTCGTAGGTACAGTGAATGCTCCACATTGCTTCTGGATTTGTAGAAGTAGCGTCCGAGGAGCACCAAAAGGTTGCCCACAACGGCAATGGAGGCCATCACCCAAACGCTGGGGGAGAGGGAAGAAAAGTTAAGAGGAAGAGAAGTTAAAGGAAAGAAAAGTCAAGAAAAGAGAGCTGAGGAAGTTATCAAGAGACTGAAGAGAGAGCCGACCATTGAATACCCAGGCATGGAATTTTTTAAAGAAAGAAATGTAACCTCGGGTAGCCGAAGCTTTGTTTACCCTTAAACTTTGTAATAGGATCAGGGTACCAAGTCGAAAATGTGGAAATCGAGGGAAATTGTTGAGCAAAAAATAAATTTAACTAAAAATTTTCACACTTTTTCTTTAAAATGTTCTTTCACTTACAAATTAATTAAGAAAATATATATTTAAGTAAATATTATTATTTTTTTAATTGAAATTTATTATAATTTTTTCAATTTATTTTAATTAATTTCAGTAAAAAATTATAAAAAGAAATATTAATTAAAATTTTTGTTAGCTATTTATTATTAATTTTTTCTGAAATTAATTAAAATTAATTGAAAAAATATTAATTAATATGTATTAATATTATTTTTGAAAATTATTATTATTAATTTAAATTTTTAATATTTATTTATTACTATTACTGTTACTATAAATTAATTGAAATTAAAATGTACTATTATTTATTATTTATTTTTCGTATAATTTATAATAACACAGATATGCAAATTTTGCTCTCTGTTTATGCAAGTTACTTGAGAGAACCAAAGCTCCTTGATATACCCTTTCTCCTTTTATAACTCCAGCAATAATAAAGCGAATCTTTTTTGACCTTGACTCTGGACAATTGTCCCTATGCTACCGCAGCCAGCCATAAATTCGGGCAATTAAAGGAAATTTAAGTCGCAAACCCCCTCTGGTAGGAGATCCTTGTGGTTCTATTGTGTGTCCTGTGTGGCGTCCTGTGTGGCGTTCTGTATTGCGTCCTGTATTTTGTGTGGCCGTGGCAATTGCCAATTGCCTGGGTGTCTGTCTCATTATTGCAGTGGCTACCATCACCATCACCATCAACGATTGCTGATTTCAGGACAATTATAGACACCCTGGGAGACACACACACTCCATATAATGCCTAATTTATGCCAAACCAAGTGCCTGCTCCGCTTCCCATTCATTGTCCCTGATGATGATTGATGCCCAAGTGCAGGTTGTGACTGAAATCAAAGGATGCTTTGACCAAACGCATGGAAAATTGAAGGGGGAAAAACTGCAGGCCTTGAAAGGGGAATCAAGGGAAACTGAGAGGGAAACTAATACAAAAACTATGTCAACCTTGGAAACTAATTTAAAATAAAAGAAATTGCCAATTTCAAGTGAAAATAAATTCTAGAAAGTAAAGATAAGACAGGCAGTAAATTTCTTTAAAAGGAAAACCAAAATTGGAAGGATAACCAGGTGAAAAAGGGAGACTCTTGAAAAACCTAACCAGTAAAGTATTTAATTTTTATGAAAACGTCAACTTGGCATAATGAAATAATGTACTAAGCAGCCAAGTAAATTCTCAACGGGCCACGTTGGCATCCTTGAAGGCTACGTGGCCTGCAGGAGCCAGCAGTAGCAGCTCCCGTTTTGCTTGCCAAAGGAGATGAAGAGATGAAGTGCTGCAGGAGTGTGTGTTTGTGCTGGGAAAATGTGTGGAAAATGCAAACAAACAAGACCGGCAAGCGAACGTAATTTTCATTTTCCAACACACTGAGAGAGAGGGAGAGGAATAACAACACATCCTAGACGATGGCAGGCAGCCAGATAATCACTCAGCAGACTTGATGACAAGTGACTGCCGGTTGCCGGTTGCCGTTTGCTGGGTAGCTCTGCTCCCTTCCCCCAGTTGGCCTTATATTTGCCTTTGGCCAAAGTAGCTAAAACTTGGCTTAAATACCAAAAAGTAAAGACAGAAACACTTGAAAATGCTCTCTATCAGTCACTGATGAGATATTAACGTATTATTAGGTGAAGGGAAGTTGGATTTCGCTGACCCCAGGATCAGGATCTCCTTGAATCAGTATAGGGATTTGTGCCAAAATAATAATATAAAATATAAGATGGGTAACGGTAATTAATTCTTAAGTTTTTTAAGTCAAATTAAGAACAAATTTGTAGTTAAAAGGTGTTCCTAAATTCTAGAGAATCTATGAAATCTAAAATATAGAAAATATATTCCCCAAGGTCTAGTAAACTTTTCCCTAAAAGTCTCATTTCAGAATATCTACCTGGTAGCCCTCTTTCACTTTGTCTTCTGGAAACTCAGTCTCAGTAAATTAAGCAACCAAATTTAGTAACTACGAAAAAAAAAAAGAAAGAGAAATTAAGAAGTTGAAACCATGTTGATTGAACTGAATGGAACGCAGTTGGTCAGTGGACGACACAGTGCCGGTGGTGTTGGCGAAACAGCTGTGCTGGTGATGCAACCCGGCAGCCAGGCTGGACCTGGACCCTTGAGGCAGTTCCAGAACGTGGCCATGGACCAGGAGCAGGAACATGAGGAACAGGAACATGAGCCAGGCAACATGGCAGCAGTGCCCAGCAGCATGGAACATCAAATTCAGGCTCGTCTTTCGATAGTCGACAAGCGTTTACATCAGGCAATGTACAATGCCTCCTAAGGAGGTCCTTGTAGCATCCTTTATCCATGGTTGAATGTTTAAAAATTGAGTTATAAAAATATATACAAATTCCCTGGATTAAGAATTAGTGATTTTTAAGGTAGAATAGATTCCTCTTGAGACTTTGCATTGACTAAACCCATCTTGAGGAAGTTCTTTATACCTATAACATCCTTATTTAGGTTTAAATATTTAAAAATCAAGTTATATTATCTGATTTCCCTTGCCACAAACTGCAACTCCTGATTCTTAAAAGTGTCCCAGGACACTGCATTTGCTCCTTGACTTAATTGCAAGCCAAGCTCTTGGCCATAATGATGACAATGATTTAATTGCTGCCTGAATGAAGCCAAAAGCTGACCACAAACACACAGTCTTCTCTCTCACCTCCTTGGCTCTCAGCTTGATTAAATCGATATTTTGGTCTTGGACTCACCTGCCTCTCAGTATCTGGTTGTCCAGGAGATGCAGCTTGCTGCTAATGCCATCGCCATGCGGATCGCAGACGCGCACATGGAGGGCGGCGCTGCACAGATGGAACCAGGAGAAGTAACTGCCAAAGGACATTTGTTTGTTTTTTATTAAAGGGTTATAACCATTACAGTGTGTGCCAATGGCTGGCTGGCAAGTCAGTGGTGCCATAATTTTGCTTGGAAAATGTTCAAGGAAAATTTGTTTTGGTTTTGGTTTTTTCTTTAAAATGTGGAAATTTGTTGATTGGGTTTTAAGTTGTAATATTTTATGTTTATTTATAGTTTCGGTTAATTTTAATACTGTTTAATTTACCCAAGAAAATTGCTTTGGTTTTAAGTTTAAAATTTCTGTTTTAATTTTATTTAAATTTTTAATTTCCTAAAAATTCAAGATTAATCCAGAAATTGCTTTGGTTTCAAGCTTAAAATTTTTGTTTTAATTTTATTTAACATGAAAATTTACCTAAAAAAGACTGCCACAGAAATTGCTTTGGTTTAAATTTTATTTAAAATGTTTGGTTTTTATTTTATTTTAAATTTTTGGTTTTAAATTTATTTTAAATTTTTGTTTTAATTTTATTTACAAAATTTTTGGTTTTAATTATATTTAAATTTTTTGGTTTATATTTTATTTAAAAATTTGGTTTTAATATTATTTAAAAATTTTTTGTGTTAAGTTTATTTTAAATTTTTGGTTTTAATTGTATTTCAAATTTTTGGTTTTAATCTTTATTTAAAATTGTAATTTTTTTTTTTAATTTTTGGTTTTAATTTTATGTTAAGTTTTTTATTTAAAATTTTGGTTTTAATTTTATTTAAAAATTTTTTGTTTTAAAATTATTTTAAATTTTTGGTTTTAATTTTATTTCAAATTTTTGGTTTTAATTTTTATTTAAAGTTTTAATATTTATTTTTAATTTTTTGTTTTAAGTTTTTTATTTAAAATTTTGGTTTTAATTTAATTTAAAAAATTGTTGTTTTAATTTTATTTTAAATTTTTGGTTTTCATTTTATTTTAAATTTTTAAAACAATTTTTAAGCATAATTTAAAGTATTTTTTACTTCTACAGCAATTTCTGGGGAAAGCTCTTATTTACTTATTCATTTACATGATTTTTTAAATTTATAAACTCAAACATTTGTTGCTCAGGAGAGTAAATAATATTTAATAAATTTAAAGAGACTTTTAAAAGCCATAAAATAATATTTATTGCCAGTTTTCAGGTAAAGTCTACCAAGTAAACCTTAAAATCTGTAAAAACCTTTTATTTTTAGAAGTCTTTTCCCTGATTTCTTGGACCAACACTGACTCATAAGATGGCCTTTTTTTGTTTTTGTGGTTTGTAAAGCGGACTCACATGTAATCCAGGCTGCTCAGGTTTTGGAGGACCCGCGGATCGAGCGTCTGGAAGCGATTGCCCGTTAACAGCAGCGATGTGAGGTTGCCCAAACAGGCGAAGGCCTCCAGTCCGAAACCCTCGATGCGGTTCTCGTTCAAGTGTCTATAGGGGAGAAAAAAAAATCAAGAAAAATCAGCTAGTGAGAAAGTGGAAATACGGTAACGCGGTAACGCGGGTTTATGGCCTAAAGGGGCATAAAAAAAAAAAAAAAGAAAACAGCCAAGTCTAAGCAAATGGGGACTTGGTTTCGCCTTGTTTTTCACGCTTATAGGCATCTTCCCTCCCGTATGCTTATTTGCATTTGGGATTGGAATTGGAATTGGTCGCTTGGTTGTGGCAGGAGCTTAGGTCCAGGCATCGATTTGGAGCTTAGAGCAAGGCATCCAAGCTCCAGAGCTGCTGTTTCATCATTAAAGTTGCTCAGGCAATGCTGTGGCACGTTTTTGCTTAGATATTTGGCCATTGATTTCCTTGATTTCATCGGTTTTCTCCTCACTCAATATGCATTACAGGGATTCGGGTTTTCCTAGTTTTTCTATTTTTTCTAGTTTTTTTTTCCTAATTTTTTGTTTGTGGCCTGCGTAAAACTGTCAGCATTCCGTTGGCCAAAACCCCTAACATTATTGATAAATTAAATTCCTTGCTTAAACTTAAACGGCAATAAATCCAAATGACACTTTCTGCCACAAGGCAGGCAGGCAGGCAGGCAGCCTCCTCTGGATTTCTGCTATTTCAGGATCACAAAAGGGTGTCCGAGAGGTCCCGGAGGTCCATGAAAGATGGAAGATGGAAAAATCCATCAGAGGTCACACTGACTGACACTTGTTTGTTCACTTTGTCCCTCGTATTTATGATTTTTCAATGGGGTACATGGGTTTTTGGGGTATTTTAGGGAATATTTAAATGGGCTTTAACGGGGATAAAAACTAAAAAACTAAACTTAAATGGTTTTTTTCTTTAAAATTTAGTTGCTTGCTACAAATAAGCTGGTAAAATAAATTTTAAAATATTTTTTTAAAGGGTTTTTTGGTCGTAGAAATAGCAAAATAATAAAAAATTATATAAAAACTGGATAATTATGAGAATAAAATATTTTTAACTGAGCTAAAAACTACTTTAAAGGGTTTTTTTCTTTAAAATTTAGTTTTTTGCTACAAATAAGCTGGTAAAATAATTTTGAAAATATTTTTTAAAAGGGTTTTTTGGTCATAGAAATATCAAAATAACAAAAAATTATATAAAAACAGGACAATTATGAGATTAAATGATTTTTTAACAGAGCTGAAAACTACTTTAAAGGGCTGTTTTTAATATTTACAACAAATTTACATTTTTAACTAAGCTAAAAACTATTTTAAATGCCTTTTTTTATATTAAAATTAATTTCCTAAATATTTACAACAAATACACTGCTTTAAAATTGAATTTTGAGTATTGGTTTTTGTGGATTTCACGGCAAATTAAAAAAAAAAAAAAATAAAGTAATTATAAGAATTAACTTGAAAAATTAAGAGTTTTAATCTCAAAAAATTATAAAATTTTAAAAATTAAATAAATTAAATAAATATATTGGAGAATATTTTAAAAAACTCATAAGTATACTTACAATCCTTGGAGATTGCTAAGATTGCAAAAGGTTTCGTCGCGTATGTGAGAGAGTCGGTTGCCAGCCAGATATCTGAAGTCAAAGAAAAAAGCTTGATGTATTTATAGGTGTGTGTAGTTACCCACTTCTTTACCCTTTTTATACTACAGTTTCTCATCTATATATATCCCGTATGTTTCTCTATTTACCCCCCTGATATACTGTTATTTTTCCCACTCATTTTCTACTCACAAATGTCGAAGGCATGGAAAATGAAAAGTGTTGGCGTCAATATCCTCGATTTGATTGCGATCCAAGGACAGTGTGTGCAGGCGGAGCAAAGTCCTGGGAAACATTTCGGCATCTAGACGTTTTACTTGATTTTCGTTGAGATATCTAAAAAAAAATACAATAAATATATATATAATATATATATATAATAATATTCATTTATATACAAAAAAAATATATAAAAAATATATAAAAAACATATACAAAAAATTGTATTCAAAAATAAAAATAAATAAAACATATTTAAAAATATATAAAATATATTTAAAAATATACCTAAATATATTAAAAAATATATATAAGAATCCCTACTTACAAAAATTCCAAGCTTATTAGTTCCGCAAACACCGCCGCTTCGAAGCTACCAATGCGATTGCCTCGCAGGTCCCTTTAAAAAGATATTTAATATATTTTATACATCCAATAAAATATATTTTTATATATATTTTTATTTTCTTGTGACACTCACAGCTCCTCCAGTTGCTGTAGATTGTGGAAATCACTGCGATTCAGGCTGTGCAGTCGGTTGCGTGCCAAAATTCTACGAAAAACAGATGGAAAATCTCATTTTAATGCAACGAAAAAGTTGGCAACAAAAGCCGCCATCGGAGAGTAGTCGTCGGCGCATATATCTCGATTTTAATTAGCCATTAAGCGGCAGTAACACATGACTCAGGAGGCAGGACCTACTGTCCAACCCCCTCCCAAAAATTGTCCAAAAGTTTTCATTCCAACGCCAAGTGCAGCTGTGCCTTTGAATCCGGACTACCCAACTACGTTCTCCGGGACACCGGACCACGGAGCTTCCTCTGGAGCTGCCGCAAAAAGTGTAACTGAGTTGTTTATGTGTTTTTGTGTGTCGGCAGTTTTGTCTATTTTGCAAGGACTCTGTGTCCGGTGGGGTATGATGAATGCTTAAAGCCTTTTGGCATGGTAAACTCTGACTAAAGGTGAGTTTATAACCAAGAAAATTAAAGAATTAAATCAACAAAATGCTTAAAAACATATTCAGAGTGAATTTAATACTTAAAATATTAAATATTTATGAAACACAGATTTTAAATCGCGGGAAATGCGTTTTGAAAGTATTTTATAAAATTTTAAACCTAACAAAAGAAATCCTGAATTTCAAATCGCCTGAAATGCGAAAAAAACTGAGAATTTTATAAAATACTTCTTTAAATTGATTTAAAATAGAAATTAAATAATTAAAATTTTAAATTGAAATTTAAGAGAAATGAAATAATATAAACCTAAGAATTTTATAACACACTTTTAGACACTTTTTTAAATTAAATTTGTATAAAAAATAAATAAATAAAATTTTAAATATAAATTTAATAGAAATTAAAAAACAAATTAGTTTTAAAACACAAAAACTTATTTAAAATGAATTTAATACTTGAAATATTTAAATAAATACAGTAAAAACGGTTTTAAAATCCCTCAAAATGCGCTCTATAAGTATGCTACATAATTTTTAGTATAAAAAATCCAAAGATTTAATAAAACACTTATTTTAATTCATTTAAAATACAAAATTAAGTTCTAGTTGAATTTTTCTTAAGATTTTTTTTTTACTTTTAAATAAATAAATAATATTTTATAATTTTCTTTTTATTTAAACATTTTTTTTAACGTTTTCAAAACCTCCTTAAATATAAGAGCAAGCCCTGATGAAACTCTTAACCTTGTTTTTCGGTCTCTTGCCAGCTGTCGTTTGTTTTTCTTGTTTTTTTTTTGGTTTATTTTGCAGGGGCACTGTGTGTCCTAGGAGGGGGCGTGGCAGCTCCGGTGCGATTCAATGCACAAAACAAGCTGCAAAAACTTTTTTAACCGTCTGTCTGCTAATATTTTCATGCTTCAAAGGCCGGACAAAAATAAATAAAAATAAAATGTGTGGGAAAAAGCGGCACAAGAATGCCAGTCGATTTGGGCAAAAGGTTCGTTTTCTCTTTCTCTTCTGCCGGCAACAATGGGTTAAGTTTATGGGCCCACAAAAGGCTGACAGCAATGATTGCGATTAGCATCAGTTTTTCGGGTTTATACAGCTTATTGGCAATTACTGGATTTTTGTCATTTTTACCAACCTCGGGCTGAATCTCTATTTTAATCGCAGCATAAACTGGGCTCCTGGAATTATGCAATATTCTCTTCTCTCTGCGGTACAGTTGTGCCCTAATTTAAGCCCACAAAATGTTCTAGCTAAAACAGTGTTTAATTTTGATTTATGCTTAATTAGCATTCGAGCGCACAAATCGGCAATTGTTCCGCCATTTATGACTGTTTTTATTAGCATAAATTGGGGGCAACAAAGCAATTGCCTAAAATATTTATAACTAAGGTAGTAAGTAGGGCTAAAACGGTGGTCTAAACAAGCGGAAGGACAGTGGGTTTCGTTAAAATCTGTTATTTTAAGGAGATTATATAGAAAATTAATATTTAAAACATTTTGTATACAGAAAATATATTTTAAAATATTTTTTTAATAAGGAAAAGTATGAAATAAAGGGTGAAAACGTTTTTTAAAATTATCAAAAAGTAAGAAAATATTTTTTTTAATATAGAAATTTATTGAATTTATTGGCAAACTAAAATGTTTTTTTAAATAAATAAAGAGCTTAAATATTTAGATGTTTTTATAACAATTTTGAGCCTTTTTTTAAATTAAAAACGAGCTTTGAATTTGAGATGTTTTTGCATTAATTATTTTTAAATATTAATTAATTAATAATAATTTTTAATATTATAATTAATTATATAATTAGTAATAATTTTAATTATTATAATTAATTAATAATGTAATTAATTAATTAATAAATTAATACTAATTTAAATTATTATAATTAATTAATAATTATTAATAATAATAAATAAAGTTATATTGAACACTACAATTTGTTTAGCTTTTTAAAATTTTTTTTCTTAGAAATCAAATAAAAAAAAAATTTTTTAATTTTCGATCCTAATATTAATCAGATTTTCAAAAATAAAACATAAAAAAATCACAGAAAAATTCAAATAACCCCAAAAATGTTTAGAAAAGTATTTCCTAATTTTGTTTCTTCCAACATTCGAAAGTAAAAATCAATTATCAAATTTAATTTAACGTCAAAAAATATTTTCCCTGCCCAAAATATATTCATGAGCCGCACTGTAAACCGTTTATCATAACCGGAAATTGATCGTAAAGAACATGGCGCTTAAATAGACACCGGAAGTGAAGAAGAGAGCACGCTACTTACAGAATCCTCAATTGATTGCCTTCGGGAAAGAAGTGTTCCGGCAGATGCTGCAATTTATTATCGTCCATATAACTGGAAGGACATTAAAAAAAAGGAGAGAAAAAATACAAAAAAAAAACGTTATTAAGGAATAAACTGCAGCGTGAAGTGTGAGTCGAAAACTGTTAAGTGCACATAAATAATGAGACTTAATTATGAGTTATTGTTGAGCGGAGAAGAAGGGGGGGACACCAGGATACGTTATACTCACAGGGTCCTCAGTGGGTTGTCCGCCAGGCGATCAAAGGCGTGCGAGGCAATCTCACGGATTCCGCAGAACTTCAGAACTCTGCAAAGTGAATTTTTGTGAGTGAATAAAATAAATAAATGCGAGATTCAATTGTAAACTTCACACAAAGGACAAAGTTTTCAACATTTTCTTAAGGGTACGAGTTATGGCCACATTATATGGCATTAATGCTTTGTTTTCGCCATTGTCTATTGTTTTTGGCAAAAATAAAATAAAAAAATACAGAAAGTTTTAGCCTCATTTGTCTAAGCAAATAAGGGGCCAAAAATAAGTTACGGAAAACTCAGTAGAAACATAAAAACAAAATTAAATTGCATATTTGTTTTAAATTTAAATTTGTCTAGTTTCTGTGATTAATTTAATTTCAATTTAAGTCGAAAAGGTCACTAAAAGATTACAAATTAAATACATGTTTTTTTTTTTTAGAAATTATTGTAAATTATATAATTTATAATAATTAATATAATTATTTTACTAATTAATTTATTTTACTTAATTAAATAAATAAATAAATTAATTTAATAATCTACCTTTTTAAATTATTTATTTTTTACTTAATTAATAAGACTTTAATTTAATAACCTATATTTTTAATAATTAATTTATTTAATAACCTATATTTTTAATTTATCTATTTTTACTTAATTAATAAGACTTTAATTTAATAACCTTTATTTTTAATTGATTTATATTTTACTATTATAATAATACTTTAATAAATTAAAATTTTTCTTAAATTTATTTATATTTCACTTAATTAATAAGACTTTAATTTAATAATCTATCTTTTTTATATATTTATATTTCCCTTAATTAAAAATACCTTTAATTTAATAACCAATCAACTCAAATTTATTTCTTAATTCACCGAATAAACTCAATTAATAAAGCTAACTGCCAGGCCATTAGTAAAACCACAACAAAATCTACCGAATTTGTCTACCATTTTGGCGGCACCTAATGGGGCAATAAATTTATTTTTATTTTTATTTATACCTTTTTTTTTTGTTTTTTTGGCACCTAGTATTTATGGGCGAAAAAAATCGAGATAAACCTGTGTGGAAATGTCACCTATTTATAGCAAGTTTCGAATTTCCCAGAAAGGCAATAAAAAAAAACACGAGAAAAACAAAATACAGAAAAGGCGAATCCCTGCCTGCAGGCTTCTGTGTGCTTCTGTTGTGCCGTTAAAATATTCATTTTCGCGAAATCTGGCCCACGAAATCGTGGCAAGATAAATGTCTGCAATTGAATGACTTGTTGAGAATATCCTCGGGAGGATAATACGTGGAATGGAGTCCTTATCCTTGCCTTCTGCAACTTGGCGGTGGGGTTTTTTACAAAAATGTAACGTTTCGACTTCAATTTGCGCCCAAAAAAACACAGGAAAAATGTTAAAACTAACCAGAAAATGTTTGAAACCATATAAAACACGGAAAGATACAAGAGTTCGGTTTCTATATATTTTAAATAAAATATATACTAGCTACTTAAGAAGTTTCAACAGCAATTTAATATAAAAAAACAATAAAAATAGGTTGCCTGCAATGTACAAGCAAGGGGAAACGAGGAAATCTAATTTTTAGCTGCATTTTTAGAAAGGTTTTGAATGCTTTTCATCATCAATTCCCTTTTTTAACAAATTTTTCCTCGTGTATAAGCAAAAAAAAAAGCCCCCAAAAACGTGTTGCCTGCAATGTACAAGCAATGGGAAACGAGAAAGTCTACTTTTAGCTACACTCTAAATACGATTTAGAATGTTGCTCATCCTAAGTGTTAGTTTCTCTTTAATCAATGCCCTTTCTTAGTGAATTTCTCTCCGTGTATAAGCAATATCAGTCAGCTAAATTTATACCTAGTTCGTGCGTGAGCTTAAAACAACAAGGACCTGATTCTGAGGACTATTCATGGCCAGCCAGAATGTCCTTTGGCACAGTGACACATAAACTGGAACACGACGAGGATGGCTATGCCGAGGACTGCGCATATGTTAAGGGAACTTCTGCTGGGTATGTCCTGATGTCCCAATGTCCTGCTGTCCCCTCATGGGGCTTATCCTTCCTGCCTGTCTAGGCTTGTATGTAATTTGTATGTACGCCCGCATGTGATGGTCACCAGTGATACTGACACAACGACGACGACCACTTAAAGGCAACATTAAGGACACAGCATGGCGCTAATATTCACTGCGGTCCGGAGGAGTCTAAGGATCCCTTAAAAATTTGAACATCTCGCAAGCACACATCCTACTCCTCCTGCACCCATTTTTGCATTCAATTGCAACGCCAACGCGCAGTCAGAGTCATCCTCCTGCTTGTATTTCAGTTTTAATTAAGAGCCAGAAGGATGAAATGGCCGGCGATATTACACAATCCCCCCTCCACTGTCTTACTTATACCATTACACTATATAGTATATGACATTTTAAGGGGTTTCTTTGGGATAACTTAAGCCTAAGGGTGAGAGTGAGGGTTTACTTACAAGCTTTTCACCTCGGGCAGTCCCTCGAAGAAGGTCTCATTTATGTTTTCAAAGTTGCTGCCCGTAAGATCGCTGTGGATTATAAGAAAAATTAGATATAATTTATTAAATATTTTTTTTTTTTAATAATTAAAACTTAAATTTATTAAAAAGAAAAATATTTCAAGAGCTAATTAAATAAAAATCAGAATCATAAATGATTTATAAATAATTTACTAATTTTTTTAAAATAATTTAAGCATTAATCCCGGCTTAGCTTAATCTTAGTGATACTTACAGCGTTGCCAGATCATATTGTGGCAAGCGAGTTGGCAGCTCTGTAAGCTGCTGGAAGCGGCACAGGATCTGGTCGCCGCGACAAGGACAGCTGAAGTTCTCGTTCTGCCATACTGGAAAGAGAGAAGAGAGAGAGAGAGAGAGAAGATAGAGAGAGAAGAGAGAGAGAGAGAGAGATAGAAAGAAGAGAGAGAGAAGAGAGAGAGAGAGAGAGAGAGATTGAAAAGAGAGAGAGAGAAAAGAGAGAGAGAGAGGTTAGCAAATGAGGTTATGTAGCATCTAATTTTTTTATATTTTTTTTTGTTTTATATTTTTGATACTTACAACAATCGCCCAACTTCTTGTCATCGCCTGCGCCAAATGTATTCTTCCGGAAGAGATGATCCCAGTACTTGGCATCCACCTCATTGTCGCAATTAAGCTCATCCGACTTGTCATCGCAATCGACGCTGCCATCACAGTTGGCCCGCTGCGGCACACACTGTGCCGAACTGTTGCAATGGAAATAACCCTGCGGGCACTTGTCGTTCTCGTCGGGCACCAGGATCAGTGAATCCACTAAGCCCACACTAACACCCAATGGCGGTGAGATCACTTCGCGTACAGCTGCTTCGGCGTCTTGTTGTCTTTCCACTGGAATGTCTGCCGTTCCAATTGCACTAATCGTTGTCTCTTTAGTTGTCCCTGTCACTCCCTCGACGACGACGGCGGCGACAACAAGCAAAATGGCGTATATCATAGGGATAGGCAGGGGGCAAGCTGGAAAAGATCGATTAACCAGGCAACTCATTAAAAATGTTATTAAATTTTAAACTTTAATGAACAAAAAAACATATTCTCTTTAAAATACATGATAAAATCAATAAATTGTTTAGGTCAGCATGTCGATGAAATAATCTACAATACGGCCATATATCTCCTCTTTGGTACCCAAAAACAAACAATCCAACGGGCAATCGATTTCGATTTGATAGAGCTGCTTGTTCCCTGCTTTTGTGGACACTTTGTCCATGGTTGATGATAGCTTCAGGGCGGCCAATAGGCTCAGTGCTTGCTCCTTGGTACTGGTGTACTTGTCCGGACGAAGGATGACTTCAAAGGCAGCAACTTTCAGGGCTGACGGAAAGTTCTTGAAGTAATTGTGGCGATCACAGAGACGCATGGACTTTACGGTAGGGATATCGTTGTCCTTTTGAATGGTGATCATGGACAACATTTTAGTGGCTGCCTTGTGGCAGGCCTGCTTCACGTTGTCCGACCTGCCACAGCAGGACAGCTTGCCCAAGTTGCAGTAGGCCAACACTTCCTCTGATGTTTGCTCAATCATCATGACGGGCATAGGCAGCTCACGGTCCAAACAATGGTCCTGTAGCTGCTTCAGGGCTTCTCCTTGGGGTTCCATTGTTTTATTTTCGTTGAGTTTTTAAGAATGTTATTTTAGATTTTCCGATTTTTCACGGAAAGTTGTAATAACCTTTCAGAGAGATATATCAAAGCCTACTTCACGTTTAAATAAAATCTAGCTTAAAATAGCGATATCAACCCGGACGTAATCGATATGAATATCGATATTTATTTAATGGAAAATAAAAATAAAATAAAAAACCTTTTTAAAATGAATTTTCCTATTTTTCAGAGAGATATATTAAGGGTTTCTTAAAGTTTAAATAAAATCTGGGAATAAGCTTATAAATATTCAAAAAGCAGCTAAGAATTGCCATATCAACCCGGATATAATCGATATACAAACACTTGTATATCGACATTTTAAAGGGAAATCGACAGAAAGATAGTGAGAGAAGAATATCCAACATCTGGTCTTTCTGCTACATCAATTTTCGTTAACCAAATGTATTTGTTTAACCAATTAAATGGGTTAATTAGCAGTCCGATTAGACTGCGGCGAGGCCAGGCCCGTTCATTGATGCTTCATTTGATATGGCAGCAGGCCGATATGGAAGTATATACATATATATATATATATACAAATATACCATATAGCAGCAGCATCACTACCCCTCTTCTTGTTGCATTTATCATTTTTAACGATTGCTTTTAATGCGACGCCATTTCCAGGCGCCAATCGATTGGGGACCCATTTTCATTATCGATATACCTTGCATATTATTATTATATATACATATATAAATACATATGTACTTGTATTAAAAATATATGTAAAATGTGTGTGCCATCAAATTGTTTTCAATAAAAATTATGCACAGTACATTTGGGGCACAAATGGTCCGTGAAATCCCGCGACTGCACCCCATTATCCTTCTTCCCCCTCCGCACTTCGATAAGACATCAACATCATCACCCTGACTCGATGACTTTCTGATGGACACCAGCGATAGGCAGAGGAAAAAAAAAACAACTCATAATTATATTGGTGAAATTGGGAAAGGTAAACAAATACGAATGAAATTAAATCGAAGCGTGGGCAAGGTCGGGTTAAAGTCAGAAAGGAAGGAAAATAGCTGGTAGAGTACTAAATCTGTTGATTTTTGTGGTACACTCTTAAAAAATATAAATTACAAATTTAATTTTAGTTTTTTTTTTTTCTTGAATTAAGAAAAAATTTAGTTACTTTTAGTACAAGTTAGGTAAACAGCTCTAAATATGAGAAGGTATTATTTTTTAATTTAGCTGTAGTATTATTTGGTTGCTACAGTTGAGAATCGTAAGCGCACACGTGCGGGATTTGTCGCTCTAACCTTTGACTCCTTACCTCTTACTGTCACTGGATCGCTGTCTCCCTCATAGTCTCTCGATATCTTTCTTACTCTTGCTCTACCTCTCACTCTTACTCTCATTCTCTGGATCTCTTCCTCTCACTCTTACTTTCATTCTCTGGATCTCTTCCTCTCACTCTTATTCTCATTCTCTGGATCTCTCCCTCTCACTCTTACTCTCATTCTCTGGATCTCTCCTTCTCTTTCTGACTATCCATCGCTTTCTGCTTCTTCCCACACACTCAGAGACAATATAATCCTAGCTGGCCACCGTCACTTCATTCAAGATTGGTTAGAACCAGTTGGGAATTATAAGCGCATTGGCAGGACAAATTTTATTTATTTTTTTTTTAATAATAATAATGCAAAATAATAATAATGCAAAATAATAAACTGATAAAACCAATTCAAAAATAGCTTTAAAGTTTATATATTTCCAATTGAATAAATATTTCACTTTATCCCCCCCCTCCCTATAATTAGACATATTTTCCAGTGACTCCAAGAAGTCAAAAGCCAACCCCTAAAAAACCTCTGTGTAATGAGATCCTGGATAGATATAAAAAAAAAGGCACAAAAGCAAGGGGGAAACACAAACCCCAAGGACGATGACAGGATTTTCCATAATTTGCTTAAAAAACATATTTCGATGAGAATCGAATGGAAAATTCCGTTTCTGGCCGAAAACATATGGTTGGAGCTTGGACGACCTCCATCCCCCCCCTGGCAAGGATTGCATTGCAGGTCATAACTCAGACAGCGGAGAGGAGAAACGGATTGCAATTACAAATGCGACGATGATGACAACAAGGACGATGCAGGAGGAAAAAAAAAGGACAATGGCAATGCGAATGGGTATATTGCTATATTGCTATAGAGGATGTAGACGTAGTAGTCCGTTGGATGACTCCATAAAAGTGTAATTAAGCGCGGCATTCGAGGCGCGGATCAGGAAGAGGGATAAGGATAGGGACAAGGACAAGGACAAGGACATGGAGCATTTGACACGTGTTGCTAATGTCCCTGAGAAAGGGGCCAAAGTCAAGGGTTAAAGCCAACGGCAGAGGGTGAAAATGATTCCCAGGAATAGCAACAGGATCTCAACTCATCAACATCACCACCATCCTGCTGGATGCAGGGTGTCCACAATCCTCGCTAAGCCCATCCTTGTCGTCGTCGGGCATCAACGTTTTGTCAACACATTTTGCGGCGAATTGAAATGTTTGATGAGTGCGGCGGCGGCTCAGGGCCCCGGCTACTGCCATTTGATTGATGAGCCAGATCCCAGCCAGATCCTGGCCAAATGGGGCATTCCCCTTGACTTGGCCTGTCCTCCGTCCTCTTCCTTTCCTTCCTTGCTTTCCAGTTGCTCCTCTGACTGACACTGGGGGCCATTCTCCGAGAGAGAAGCGAAACTTTTACAACTTTGTCGCTCATAAATTCCCATTGAGCCACTCAAATGGATGCCTCTCCTTGGTGCTGTTGCTTCTTTCTAATATCCCAATAAATGGATTTACACTGAGACAAAGGGGTGGCTATATAATATATAACTCAAATAAATAAATTTGAGTAGCTGGAAACTTCTTCTCAGAATAAAAAACATGAAATAAAAATTCTAAACTCATTTGAAATTATGAGAAATGAATTTTTATCGAAGGAAAATGTGCGATTTAATATATCGACAAATATATCGCTCTGAATTTTATATCAAATATATTGATAGTTTTGATATAGTGAAGTTTTAAGTATTAAAAAATAAAGACTAAATTATTTAAAATTATTTATCGATATTATTAAAATAAATTCAATGAACTTAATGTTTTTTTTTCATATTAAACGGAATATCGATTTATGGCAAATAGCAACGTTCATTTATTGTTTTATATTTATATTAAAACATTTTTTTTATGTGTATGTTATTAAAGAGAATAGCGATTTAATATATCCAATGCTAAAATATCGATTTATGGAACTACTTTTGCATCAAATATCGATACAATATCGATTTGTTTTATAGATGAACACAGCAGCTCAAGATAATTAAAAAATAATTTAATAATTAGTTATTTGTAAATATACTAAGAAATATTATTTAATAACATCTAAATATTATTATTTTTTTTTAAGAATATATAAAATAAAATATTTATAATATATTCAAATTATATTCATTCCTCTTTAAAATTCCGAAAAATGTTAAAAATCAAGCAAACTTTTTAATAGGAATTTACCACCGCTGGCAATTTACACATTTTACAGTGACAGAAATAAAGGGCAATTAAAATCAAGATGATTTAGGGTCGCTTTAAGTAAATAAATCATGGAAAATAAATTCTATTTTAAGGCTTACATTTATGGCACAAAATATGTGCTGAGAGGAAGAAATATATTAAAAAAATATATTTTAAAAAAGGTACAGCCTTAAAATATATATTTCAGGCAGTGTACACACAAAGTGTTGTTTGGAGAAAGACATTATCGGACCCCTCCCCAAAAATTGACTTGGATTTGTTTATATAGTCTGACCCTTACCTGGGCCGCCCGCCCCCTGCTCACCTGTCTTGGGCGTTGAATCGAACGAAAATAGCCGCAAGAGGTGAAAGTTCGCAGTGTTCTTGTTTCTTATTCTTATTTTTTTGGTTGTTTTCTTTTTTCTGTTTTTTTTTTTTTGGGAGGGGCAGCAGCAATTAAAACAAACGAAAACTTAATAGGAAAACTCACGAAAATAGAAGTCAATTGCGGGCAAAGTAAACAAAGTATATAGTGTGTGTGTGCAGCCTGATATCCGCTGTCAGTTAAACGACATATGTCCGTCGATGTCGATCAATATCTATTAGATACACCGATGAATCAGATTCTATTGAATTATCTACAATATAATTATATTGAGTGGCTTTAATGGTAAGAGAATTACCTTTAAATTATGTCTTAGATGTGAGAAAATTAATAATTGCTTTAATATTAAAATTTAAAATTTAGTTAAAAGCTTTTTAAACTGATTAAAAACTATATAAAAATTATTTTTAAAAATTTTATTTTGTTAAATATATTTTTAAATAGCTTAAACAATTTTTTTCAACTCGATTTAATTTTTTTTATGAAAAAGGATTTGAAAACCTAATAAAAAGAATATTTTAAAATGCCGTGAAATTATTTTTTAATTAAAAATGGTTTTAAGTTTGGTTTCTACATAAATTTAAAATTAAAAGCCCATAAAAAACTAGTATAAAATTTAAAATTTAAATTTAAAAATATTATATTTTTTAATTCAAGTAAAACGGGGAAATAATCTAACTCATCGATGACTTTTTAAGGAAAACATCGATATTTAATCGATAAACATAAAGAAGCCTCAGAAAACATCGACTTTTAATCGATAAGCATAAAGTAGCCTTATAAGCTTTGCTCCTGAATAATTATTCAAAAGATCCACAAGTCTTGTATTCAATTTTAAGCTCAAGAGCTTTATAAACTAAACTAAAAAAAATAATAAAATTAAAACCCAATCAAGACTTATTTAAGTTAAAAGTTAACTCATTATATAACCTAGAAATAAGACAAATTTTGTAAATCTTTGGGGCTATCTATGTACATTACGACATGCACTAAAAACAGCTAAGAAATTCCAATAGCTTTATTCACTACCCCAGATATCTGTTCATATATACATATATACATTCATATATAATTCTTCGATTTTAGGCTGTTTAGATTCAAACCGAGAAACCGAGAATGGAATTTTTATAC